AAATTTTGTGGACTGAATTTTACTATGACCCTCCATGTTTGCAGGTTTGACTTTTGTGGATTTGATTATTCACATACCTGTTTAAGATGTTAAAGGTGTATTTCACATTTCTCATAATTCTCAATAATATTTCAAGTGTGGTCTCAGGGCAGATTTACATAGGTGTAGCATAATAAAGGCAGTTTTATGTGTTGCCGAAGTCCATCAATCTCCTCATCCTACTCAGCACTGGCCCCAAGAAAGAAAGAAACTACTGTCCCCAATGAGCAGAAATATAATGTTGGTCCCTGGCATGCTGGGGATGGGATTATGGCCTGTGCCCCACATCAAACAGCCCGAGAAGCACTGCTCTTGAGCACTTTTTCTCATCAATCTTGCACTATGTTAAACATCAACAGTAATTCTTCCCACACAGCAGGAAACTACTTCTAAAAATGTACATGAAGAAGCATACCTTTTTTTTTTTAAACCCTAGAAAGAAAAAAATCCCTTCCTTCAAAAGTTCAGGGTCAAACTTATATGGCGGGGTGGGGATAGAAGTCCTTTTTAAGATATTTCCAGGAGTTTCTCTCCTAACCCTAATAATTTTACTGGAAAAGTTTTTTTTTGGGGGTCGTCCCCCCTAAAATAACCGCCCAGTGATTTCCCGTCCCTTAAATGAATGCCGGAATATAAACGGTAAAACTTTTCCCCCATTTTGATGTTGGAATTTCCAGACCCCTCCCCCCCCTTAAACCTGCCCAGCATAACCTTTTTTTTTGATAGTGTTTTTTTTTTTTTTGGGAAGCTGTTAAAACCATTTTTTTACATAATGAAGGTTAGATTAGCCCCCCTGCTTTCTCCCCCTGTCCCAATTTTTTTTTTTCTTTAAAGCCCTTTAAAAACCTCTCTGAAGTGAAGAGGAAAAGAACAAAGAACACCGTGTGTGGTTTTGTGGAGAAGGGGGGGCGTGTGTCAGGGTAGAAGAGAGAGAGAGGGGGGAGAAGGGGGAGGGGTGGTGGAAAAAAAAAAAAAAAGAAGAGGGAGGAGGGGGGGAAGGGTGGAAGGGAAAGGGGGGGAGAAAAAAAAAAAGAGGAAGAGGGGGAAGGGAGGGGAAAAGGGAAGGAGGGGGGGGGGGGGGGGAGGAAGAGAGGAAGAAGGGGAGAGGAGGGAGAAGAAAAAGGAAGGAGAAGGGAGGGGAAGAGAAAGAACAAAAAGGTC